TTCCAGAGCACAGTTCAGCTCAGCAATGAGTGTCTGAACCACTTTGCCACAGACACACAGTCCTGAACAAGAAGGTGAGAAGGAGGCAGCCCACGAAAGAAATAAGGCAGAACAATATAAAGGGAAACCAGGACATCAAAGTAGAACTATTTCAACATGAATTTCACTCTGAAAAGTATGACAATCTCAAATGATAAGATCCCAAGAACGCTCTGAGATGTGAAGGGGGAGAGCAGAAAAGTTTTCACTCTTATATTAATCAGGACTAATGAATTGACACACTGCTGCGATATTCAGTGACTCGACACAACAAGTTTACTTTGCACCCACATTATTGTCCGACAGGGGTTGGGAAGTCCCTTATCATGTGGCAATGCCACCTCGAGCATGGGGTGGCCTCCACGGTCACAGTGGCAAGGCACACTGTGTGCAAAAGTTATATTTGCATGAAATTGCCTCGTTCTAGAAATCACCTGTCATTCTACTCACCTTCCCAGAAAAATTAGTCACACGGCCTAAATGAACTACAAAGGTTGCTGGGGAAAGTGGCTGTCCTGTGTTTTCATAAAAACACGATGACTTTGGTGAACACACAGCATTGTCTCCCACTGCAGTTAGCTCTAACTAGACTCTAATTGTCTCCATTGCAGTTAGATCTAATTAGACTCAAGTTATGCTTGCTTAAGTGTCATCCATCCGTAGATGAATGGATGACTTGTAAATTGCTTCTTATGGAATCTGATCAGTGGAAACAAAGGAGACCCCTAAAATGTAATGAGGAAACAGTGGAAGAAAAATAATGCTATTTTCTGTATTTTCTGTAGGTTAGTAAATGCAGCCTGTTCAATAATCTACTCAAGCCATAGAGGTTACTGAAAAACTCCTAGGCATGAAAGGAGTCAGAGTTGAAAGGTAAAAATAGCCGGTGAGTGATATTTAACTACGCAAAATTCTGGTCAGAGACTTGCCTGAATGTATTTGGTTTTTAAGAGGGCACGGGAACTTATGTGGGAATGGGTACAATCAGATGTTAAATGGAACTTTTCCAGTTGACTCAGAATTTTGGCACAGGTCTCAAATTTAAAGACAGAGAGTGATACTTGCCGCTCAGTCCAAACGGAGGTATTAGACAAAACCCCTGCAGGATTTGCTAAGGGCAGCCAAACTAGTCCAACAATCACATCACACTTCCTAGTGACCTATACAGGAGACATTCCAGTCTCACAGTGAGAGAACTCCAAGAGGACAACTCACAGACACACAGACACAGGTCTGCCAACTGGAAGGACTGACATTCACACTCCACGGAAGGCACATGGAGCAAAGGAGTTATCGTCTGAAAGCATCATGGAATTGGGATGCAGAATAATAATAATAAAAAATATTCAAAGTGATTAGTATTTTTCCTTTGGGGCTCAAAAATCAGACTGGTGCCTTATCGTCAGCAGGACATCACTGACAGGGACAGATCAACTGCAACAACTGCAATGAAAGCAAAGAAAGAGAGGGAAGCCCATGGGAGCCATGGAGGGGAAGAGGGCGATCCCCCCCTGTGAGCCAGGCGAGTGTCATGCAAGCTAAGCAGGTTGGCAGTCACATGGCAGAATCAGCCCTTAGGGGCCTCGCTGCAGCGACAAAAGATGAGACTGAGCCAGAGAAACTACACCAGGAGCAGTGGCAGTCGCAGTAATGCTGGGGAGAAAGGGGAGAGGAATGTTCAAAAATGTATTTTTAAATTAACATACGATAATAATATCTTTTTTGGTTGATAGCTCTATGGATTTTAATAATTTTAATCCCTATAATCACCAAGACAATCAGATGATTGGCTCTCCCTTTCAGTCACACCCTTCTCCGTCACTAACCTATGGGAGCCACAGATCTGTTCTGTCATTGTTTTGCCTTTTTGAGAATGTCACATGAATGGGAAAATGGGCCATTTTGAGATTAGCTTTGATCATTAAGCCTAAGCCTTGAGACTCATCCAAGTTGTTGCATGTGTCAGAAATGAATTCTTTTACACTGCTGAAAATTATTCAATTGTTTGCTTGTGTAACTACTGATTGATTAATTCACCCTGTGCAAGTTATCAATTTATTGATTACCTCTCCGCTGTAAATTCACCATTTGGTATGTGCTCTGTGTCATGGATTTAATTTTTAGAGCATGAATTCTTTACAGTGAGCACAAGGCTGAGCTCTTCAGTGGGCCGGGGGGCGGGGGTGGGGGATTGAAGCAGGGTCTTCCTGGCTCCAGCTTCTGCACTGTGTTCTTTCTTTCCCCATCAGTCAGCAGGGAGCGTGTGTGAAGACATCTGTTGGCGCTCCGCCTTAGCGGCCACACCTTCTAGTGGCCAATCTGACCCTCAAAAAGTTGACCGTCCTAAAGCTCAATTCCCTAAGTTTATGGTATTCCATGCAAAGTCACGTCCATCTATGTGCATCTTGGTGATAAGCCGAGGAGTTTATGAACCCCTTTATGAGTTTGTTTTTCTGAGCTCCAATCTGTCTGCAATCTCCACAGCACTTTCTAATTCCATAGGCTCCTTCTCCTCCTCTGTTCGGTTCTCTGAACAGAATTTGGGGCCTTTACTTACGCTACCCTGTAGTGCATGTCCCAAAATTGGCTTTCACCTTCATAACCAAATGGCAAGAAGACAGAGAAAAAAAAAAGTCAACAAAGGTTTGCCACACCCTCTTGAAACCATCGCTCCCCATATCAAAGTAAGAAAACAAATTCCCCTTCCTCAGAGATGTAAGCTCTTGACAGTCCCTATTATCATTGCTTTTGTAGGTGCTACTGCTATTTCTACAGGATTGCTTAAGGGTAGGGCAGTGAAGAACAATCAAGTAGAAAATACAGAAGCATTAGGGAACCCCTTTCCCAGTCTTCAAGTCAAAACTAGAGGCCTTCTGCTGGAACGATTTTCTGCCATCACCTAAGTCTACTTCTGGGTTTCAGATTGTGCTGAATCTAAGTAAGGGAATATTGGAGGAAAGTTAAATTCAAAACTTTGAATTTTTTCTTCTTCAATCTGCCTCCTTCTATTTACTTTTCAGGATCCTCAAATTGATTTTTAAGCGTGTTATTCATGTTTTATAGCTGCACTAATAGGAAGAAGGAAGATGTTATGTGCTTACTCCATTTCACCTGAAGTTACAACCTGGAAACAATGTAGATGTTAAATAGAGGCATTAAAACCCAAAAGAAACCGGAAAAGCTGTGAGAACTACCTGAGCTATCCTACAGGGTCAATTGGGAGTACTCTATGAGGTGTGTTAGAAGTAGGTTGGTCGTCAACGAAATAAGGACACTTTCTTGGCGTGAAAGAGAACACTATAATAAGGATCTCTTGACAACAGGTGTAAAACAGAAACCAGAACATTTGACCACCTAATTTAGAAGGTGTGATGGGAAAATAATAGTGTTTTCTAATTATATTCCACTGGGTCTGATTGTTCGATTACAACCAGTCTCTTATATGTAGAACGTGTTTTGGTTGTCTGCTTTGTTTGGGGTAAAACCAGCGACAAAACTCTGGATCTCCAGATAGTTCAGTCATGGCAATATCTGTCTTGGAATAAAATAAACCTGGGTGAACCGGTCAAAAGACGATTCTTCTTGGATCTCAGAGAGTGGCCGGCAGGAAAGCCAGGGATCCTGGCCATCACTAAAACACAATGGTACAATCACAGTGTGGGTTTCTCCACACTGAGACCCTGCAATGCTCCTTCCCACAAGAAACTTCCTGAAGGAATAATTGATACCCTTGAACTCATCTTTAACTTCATCACTGGAATTTCCAACAAGGATGTTGCTTGGTGCCAAAGCCATAGTGGTTTTTATGATGTGGAAGCCTCTGTAAATAAAAAGGCAGAAGAGCATTTCACACAGGCACCAAGAGTGGCTAAATAACCATGATAATAAATAGTAAATAATAAATAATAAATAACTTTTTAGCCACTCTGAACTTGGATCACATTCAGATGGATGGACGTGACACATAACGTATGAATGAGCGCCGGAGTTGCTTTCCTTTGTGGCTCAAATGGTGAGTCATTTCTTTCCAACTCGGAAGACAGAGTCTGAGTGTCTGAAATCCACGGGTGACTAGAACACTGTTTTAAGCACAGGTTGAACTCTGGTTAAGAAAACACACTTGTGAGAATGAAACTAGCCTTGTTTCTCAGAAACAAATACTTGGTCCTCTCTCCTACCACCCCATTTCTCTGGGGAACCTAAACTGACACCCACAAATCAGGAAGCACACAGGAGAAGTGCCCAACTGAAGGGGCAAATGGCTCAGACTGACGCTCTATTCAAGCTTCGTTCTTGCTGCCTTAATCAGAATACACACTTATTTCCCAGACTTCTAGCTTGGGAGACTTTTACAATTGCCCCTCTGCTTTGTACATAACCGTTAGTCCATTTCTTGTCTCCTCGTTGGCCTAATAACTTTGGCCCCATTGGTCCCTTCTTTTAGTGACCAGCGAGGAAGGTCATATGCGTTGTACCCATCACAAAGGTGTCTGGGCAACAGCACAAGGAGAAACTGAAATTAGCCCTACTCTTCTTCCCAAGCTACATCCTAGCACAGACCTGCACTTGCTTAAAGGAAAGGGATGATTCCCCTAGCGCATCTGCCCAGAGAGAGCAATTTCTATGAGGACACGGCAGAAACGAACTGCAATCTCTCTAGCCTGTGTCCCACTGGTGTCCACCCTTCATTCTTACGTCCTGAACTCCAGAGTTGATGGGTGAACATGCAGTCAGAGTTGTCTTCGTTATAGAAGAGATTTGGGCAGAGTTCAAATCACTCATTTCTAATAAAATCATATTTTATTTATCTGATTATTCGTAAAGTCACATGCGCAATCCATAGGAGACATGGCAGTGTACACCCATAGAGAGGAAGTAGCAGAATATCTGCTGATTCTGCTCAGACCACAGGGGACATCTTGGGAGTGCCGTGGGCTGAAGGCGCACAAGGTCTAGAGGGTTCATTCTCCCTCTGTCCCATTCAGGGAACCAAAGGCTCTAACCCACGGCCACAGTCCCACTCCAGTGTCCATTGACCTTGGCATTCGGATCCAGGTTGTCTGGGTACTCTTGATTTCCTGTCGGCCTGATCCATGCTGTGTTCTGTCCCGGGGACTGGACAGGAGGCTCATTTCACCATTCCCAAGCTGGGAGCTCCTCCCAGTGGTTTCTGTCTGGTGGAATCCCTTCCAGGGAAAACCCTGCAGGGGATTTTGAGCTGGCTCCATACGAATCCTTTAACATTCTTCACGGGCATATGGTAGCGCATTTTGGTCCAGAACCTGGAATTAGGAGGAACTGATTTTAAGCCCCTCCAAGTGACTGTGGGCAAAATCCTGAGGGCTTTTTTCACAAGATGAGGTAGAGCCTCTGGCTCTTGGAAGTAACCGAACTTAATTAAAATTAGTTTCAGGGTTTGATCATTCAAGGCAAGATTCACTGCTGCCTGTAGTTCAAAGATGCTGGGTCCGTTGACATAGTTGGGACTCAAGATAAATATTCCTCTTCTACTTTTCTTAATGATGTTCACAATGTCTTCTGCATACACTGGGGAAAAAAAGAATTTATTTGCAATCGATATTGTTAAACCTTGAGTCAGAGAGCTTGCAATGGATACTCTTATATGAGGAGGGAAGGAGACATGTTTATCACTTTTACTGTGTCAACCCTATTGACAGCTGAAGATACACTCTCGTGTCTAGTGACTCCCAATTTTACATCCCTTCCTTTGTGTTCTGTCTCCTCAAATGGACAATACCTCCGGAAGCAAAGTAGGCTGGTCCTAGGTAAGCTAGGATAACAGGGGTCATGGAATGCCACAGGCTCCTTGATGGGGGTATCTTAGGCAGAAAAGGCCAGCAGGACAGGCTGAGGTCTGAACATCTTAGGGTGGCCAGGACTGGGCTCAGGTCCAAGAAGCCTACTTGACCCAGTGCTAATATTTGTGGAATACAGCCCCAGAAATCAGGAAGAAGTACCTATTTGGGATAACAAAGACAGCTGTGAAGCCAGAGAAGATATCTTCGTTCCGGAAATCCTCCCTAAGCCCCCTATCATTTTTTTTCTTCTAATGATGGATTGTTTTTTTTTTTTAATGACGGAGTATGTCTCTGGACACATTTTTCTGTGTTGTCACCCAAGATGCCCTAAGCTCATGAAACCTCCCAGAAGATGAATATCCCCAAAGAAAGAATTACAGAAAAAAAACTTCGAGCTTGCATTTAACTGCTCTTTCTGGCTCTGTATTTTTTTCTTGACATGAAAAACCTACCTCCTCCTGGGGTCACATCTCTTTCCAGCAAACACAAGGTATAGCCATATTTCTTTTCCAAAACTTCAGGAAATAGATCCAGAGCCAAGTGTTCTTCGCTCACAGATGCAGTGGCATCACTCTCAAATGAGCTGCATTTTGCGTAGGACACAAAAGCATCAAATTCCTTTTTATCTAAAGGCAAGGAACAATACAAAAACATAAGGCATTTGCATTTTTTTACTATCATGATACAAGTGCATAAGCTTGGAACATATGGTAAATGTATAAGCAATAAGATTTAGTATCCTTATAAAACTGACTTAAAATATTAAAAAAGCAGCAGCTGCGTTCACTTCCAAATCACACCATTGAGTGTATTGATCGTCCACTCAAAATTGAATTCCAACTTATGAAGCACGCTTGCCTTTTCACTGAGGTTAGATCAAACAGCTGGGGCCGTCTATGATTAAATCACATGTACTCAGGAGTCCCTCTGAGCCTTCTTTGCATCTGCAGTGTTTCTGTCTCATTAGATACACATCAAAGAGGACTCAGCCTCATCAAAGCCTGATAATATCCAGTGAGCAAAGTACTTGGAAGACCCAGCACACCGCACCCACAAGGGAGAAAAATACTTCCTTGGAGGGTTGGCAGCATATCCACCTCTGTGTCAACCTCACATATAAAATTAATATCAGCCGGGCTCAGTGGCTCAGCTTGTCATCCCGCGCTTTGGGAGGCCGAGGTGAGTGAATTGCCCGAGCCTGAGGGTTCGAGACCCACCTGGGCAACTTGGCGAGACCTCATCTCTACAATAAATCAAAAAATTAG